GTTATACGAGGTGGAAGCAGTTTCATCAGCTAGGGAATTTTATATATGGGCATGTGGCTCCCGCAGGCACAGGCGATCCAAATCTGCTCTGACACTATCAGCCTTCGATCCCTTTCATCCCAACTCTATCTCAACGACTCGTGCAAGCAATTTTCGCAAATGTGCCGACTGCCGACTCCATGTGCAGCTGCAGCGGGGTCGCCACCAACGAGTGACAAACGCTCTCGCTGTCCACCCCTCGAGCTAACCGTGACGAGCACATTTATGCCCGATTCCTCACCATGTAATTATGTGCGTACACCGGTCTCTGGCTTCGCGCCAGTACTCGGAGGCGTGCCCGGCCTAGCTCTAGAACTATAGCCCTTAATTCGCTCTGCCACGGGCGCGTGGCAGAGGCAAGGGCTATATAGCTTTAGAGCTATAGGCCCGTGGCAGAGGCAAGGGCTATAGTTCTAGAGCTATGTCGGCGTCGCATCGTGAACACAGGCACTTGGACTTGGAGCGTTTCAATAAAATATAATGCTAAATAAATACGAAATCTATTTACTACCAGTCTTAATGTTTCTCTACTCTCTTTCGCCTATTATTATTTCCTGCATTTGCAGGAAATTGTTGGCAATAATAGGCGAAAGAGAGTAGAGAAACATTAAGACTTTGGTAGTAAATAGATTTCGTATTTATTTAGCATTATATTTTACTGAAACGCTCAAAGTGCCCGTGATCGTGAGCACTGTATTCGCGCGAGCTGCACGAAGAAGCTGACAGCGAGGGCATCAATTTTACAGCTCGCGTGAAGAAAACAATCAATCCGCGAGTGGGGTTTTTTTTCGCGACGAGGCAAAAAATATCGTGCGATATCAAGTTCAACGCGTGTCAGCTCTTCAAAAAAGTCATCGGTACTGTAGTCGCTGGTACGGAACGCTGATCCAGGGCAAACGCAGGAACAGGTGGCATGCGCTGGGAAACGCAATAATACATGAATAAGGCATGAAATAGCATTTCCGCACGCGAGGTCCTGAGGGAACTTTACATACATGTACGTTGCATCCCACGACGCGCGCACGCGTAAACGGCACATGTACAAGTTAGTAGTTACATGACACGGTTACTAGAGTACATGTCACCTGTTAGCACGACAACAAGGGAAAACCTGCCACCAATTGACAGCACGTCAGTCGGAACGATGTTAGATGTCATGTCGAGTCAGTAATAAAAAAAGAAAGCAGGATTTGTTGTAAATTGTAAATTCTGGAGACAGACACAACTCATATAGAGCAGCTATAGAGCATCAAGATAAGAATATAGACGCGGAATACGAGGAGAATTCCTTGCGCGGGTCGTAAAGCAGACGCGAACAACCACAATACGATGATGTATGTATAAACAACTGGTGAAGCGAGAGGGGAACTGATACGCCCGAGCGCGCTAGCAGCTAGGACCAAAACTCAAACCAGCTTGCTTACGACATGATCGGCTGAAGAAACGCAGACGTGCGCGCGCTCGCACACACTGCCCCCCGCCTGACAAGATACACCCACAGGGGCTTCACAGCTTCGCAAAAATGCGCGTATATTTGGGCCGGGTGCACACGTTTTTGTCGAAGCGCAGGAATTCGACAAAGGCGCTCTCGCGCAGCCTCGTTTTTCCCCGTTCGTCCACGCCGCTTCGCGCGAGTTAATTTTAGTCTTTGCAAATGGCTTCTTTGGAAAAATCCCAGTTCTGCCGAGTACAGCATCGCTGTGCCGCCCGCGCCGCGCTTACGTCCGACGTCTTGCCCCTCAACAGACGGAAATCATAATGGGAGGCAAGAATGAGCGCAGGAATCGCTGCCAGGCAGCGCAAAGGTTCACGGAGACAAAATTTCTCCCCGTAACTGTTGGGTTGGAACGAGAACGGCATGTGCTAGTTAACTTTAATATCTATGAGCTCAGTAAACTAATCGCTCTCTGTGGTTACGAAGCTAATCTTCAAGTCGCTCCGCGCGTCTGTCAGAAACCAATGCAGTCTGCACCATGTTCACAGAAACCTTCACTAGACAGGCTGCTAATATATACACAGCAGGTGGTGTAGGGGGCAGAGGAATGCACACCCTCATTAGCTCCTCACCTAGCCTGGGTGGGAAGCCTGGTAAATTCTGTCTCGTGTGCTCCCAGGCTGTATGTGAAAGCTGTAGAGTTTGAAGAGTTTTAACATACGTCTCCTAGAGATCTTAAAACTATATGAAAATATTTTGCGCCGATATCTCAAAGAACGATGCCAAAAATCATTGAATCGTGCATTACGTAATGCATCATTGACTAGTCTATTCTGATACTGTGTAAATTAAACTCACCCGCTCCATTTCAACGAAGTCTTCATCGAGCTTTGTGGCTTCTGCTCCCCCTATCTTCTCGCTCATATACTGGAAGACATTAAATCACCATTCGTCAGATGAAGTACAGCACTCACGCATCTACGAGCTTATCGCTATAAATACATTTCGATATAAATAATATTCAATATTATGAACAGATGTACAGATCTAATTAAAAGCTAATCATGGCCAGAAGCTGAAATAGATAAACAACAATAAAATTATACAGCTTTACTGCATATCAATCGGGATTCATACGTCTCCAACATTGCATTTCCTGGTTGTATTAATTCTCGGCTATATCTAATCTTGACATGCAGTATAATATTTGACATTTCGGCATAACCGGCTTTGAAATTCCTCGCAATAGCGATATGGAACTGGCACAGATTATTTGTATAGAATTTTGTGGATGGATGAGCACGAAGGGGGCATCAGGGGCATTGATGGTAATCTTATGTACACCAACACATGACACAACTACACAATCTCTGCCAATGAGGAGCTTAATTACAAGGTCATGTTTTCACAATATTAATGTACCACTGTTAAATAAATAAATCCATGAATAAATAATAAATAACAACGTATTTAGTAATTGGCTACTCGTCAGATGTGCCCCCCCCCCACATGACCCTTCTTTGACTTTAAAACACATGTATAATATGAAACCATAAAGTGATAATGTTGGTTGAAATTTATGACATAATGATTGTGAGGAAAACCACACGCACGCACGCACGCACGCACGCACGCACGCACACACACACACACACACGCACGCACGCACACACACACACACACACACACACTCGCATGGCACGTGCATCTGTAGCCACACATCTGAAGTGAGACAGTTCAATAACCTACATGTGCACATAGGTGTAATAGTTACAGACTGAGGCTCTCTGTGACATACATGATGTAGGTACAGACACCGCAATCTCCAGGCAAGATGAGTGTGCCGATTGCCAACTAGTGCTTAGATTTACCACACCATGACCCTAACACCGTCAACTGATTTCCTCATATAACCACCTTAATCCTTAAAACCTGCTTACAAATTCGCCATTTTAACTCAATTTCTGACTATTAATCCATCAGAGGCACCCTTACCTTAATCCTATCTAT